ATGATGAATTCATGTGAATTAGGAGAGTTCCTACACTGTAATACCACCCTAGCATATTGGCTCTTATGTCATCTCCAGTTCAGTTTATTCAATTATTGAGCATCTATTTCGGGGCACTAAGACAGCAAAAACAAATGACTCCCCCCTACCCTGAATGTGCTGAGAGTTGCCATATTCTCATCTCTTGAGCTAGTCCTTCTCACTTTCTAGTCCTAATTACTTTATTTATAGGAGTGTCAGATAGAAGTAGCACACCAACCACTACTAAGTGCTGACCGAGCCAGGTCTAATGCTTATTTATATGAATCTACTTTCTAAACAAACATGTAGCAGACACCATACCAGGTTTTAGTTTCATTATAATTTGTGTTGTTTTGTTTGAGGAGAGCAAGAGAATATAAAACTTGAGAAACATGGCCTACCTTCAGTTGTTTACAGTTAAATGAGGAGGGCTGATAATAACAAGAGGTAAGGACATTACAAGCTACATATAGTGTATAAAGTACAAGGGGAACAAAAAGCAAGTAACTGCTTAGGAAAGCTGAGAAAGATGTCACTCAGATTGCAGATAAAGCTAGGTCTTAAGGAAATGGAGCTTAACAAGAATAGCATCATAGAAGATCAATGCTGAGCATCTCTCAGAAGTGTGAAATATCTCTGGATATTTCCAGAAGTCTGGAAAAGTAATTTAATTTCTGAAGAGCATCCTTACATGCCACCTAAGGAGTCAGCAATCCACAAATGAGCGTTAGAATATTTTTTAAAATTTGTGTTTTAGAAAACTCTAACAGCAATGTGAATGACGGATCAAAATAAAAAAGAAGACAAAGGAGTCCATTGGAATTTGCCTAAATTATGAGTAAAAAATTTTCTGGCCCTTTCCCTACTGAATAATTCAACTAATTTGAGATTTGCAAAATTCCCCAAACTATAAAACCTGCACTATGACTACAGCAGTATTTCCCATTCTGCATGAGTGTGCACGTGCATGCATACTGCCTATTCAACAGATAATTTGTTTTCTATATGCCAGACACTAGGAATGTAATGATGAACAAAAACAGATATGGCCCTGCCTTCATATTATGAAAGAATTTCAAGGGGAGGGTGTATGAGTGGAGAGTCTGACAAGTGTTAGGCTAAGAGAAGACTGCCCTGATGAAGTAACACTTGAGTTATCACAAAAATATGAGAAACCCAAAAGAGCATTAGTCTATTTCTTTCAGCTACCAAAGGAGAGAGCTCATAGGTAGTGAAAAAGGCAAGGACTTAAAGATTTTAGGTTCCAATTCCATTTACAATATCCACAAATTAAGAGCTCTTGAGGAATTTTTTAATTGAGTTTATTGGGATGACATTGGTTCACAAAACCAGACAGGTTTCAAACGTACAGCTAAACAAAATATTCTCTGTGCACTTCATCACGCACCCATTACCCCAAGCAAAGTCTCCTTCCGTCTTCATCTCCTTTTCCCACCTCTACCTACCCCTACCCCCTCTCCCTCTATCACCACACTGTTGCCCATATCTATGTTTAACACACACACACACAAATTTAAATCGCTTCACCTTCTTTCATCCAGCCCCCTGCGCCTTCCCCCAACAGCTCAGTCTATTTCACGTATCCATGGGTTTCCTGCTTGATGGGATTCCATCTCCTCACACGGTTGTTGTGAGGACTATAAAGTACCTAGGCACTTACAGCACAGTGCCTGACCAAGAGGTATTCAAAAAATGTTCATTTAATTCCTCACTTTCTTCACCCTTCAAAATCAGACTAACTAGGAATATTTATTTTCATAAAAACAAATTATTTTTTCCAGTTTTCCTAAATCAAGTGCCAGGGATCTGGTAAAAATCTTTGGCAGCTGAAAATTTGGCTTATTCTCATATAATCCTGGAATAAGAACTTAAAAAACTAATTTATGAGGGAGATTTTTGAGAACACTTTTTAATCTTCTCAGAGTGCTTCCAACTTCTATCAAGTTTGCTGCCAAAGAAAAAAGGATGGTATGTTTTTTAAAAACCTAGAGACAAATACATAAAGCAGAAAATCTAGGTTTTAAAAAAACATCAAATAATATAGAACTATGTAAGTGGATAGTGTTTTCTTCTCCTATAGCCCATGAGTAGCTTTACCCACATACACCAGGATCTCTGGAGGAGAAAGAATGGAAAACTAAATGGCACCTAAGTTTCACACAAGGCAAACTGGAAAAGGGCAATTGGGGGGGTGCCTACTATCCAGTAAGTGCGACAACTTCTAAAAAGGCAATTTTTTAAATAGTATTAAAGTATAAAATGTGTATTAGTTTCTAGGAGGAAAGAAATTAGGCTGAGACAATAGTTTGTAGATTGATAGAATTTAATAAGGTTTTGATTCTGTACTTGTTTAATTTTTGTTTATATTCTAATAAAAGTACTTTTATATTTTTATATATTTATTTACCTAAACTCAGAACCTGGATATATTTACTTATTAACTGGATGGAGTTAATACACTTATATTTAATCATTTTGAAATGAGTCAAAGTACAAACTAAGATTTGGCGAACCAGCAATTCACAACCATCTCTACCTTGCTTCATCTTTACATAAGTACAGGAATTATTTTTAATAGCTCTTTAGTAGCTCATGAACTCTATGTAAGTCTCATAATTTTTACAATACAGTTATATTAGATAATTACACTACATTTTCTCCCAATTTCCTAAAGCAGCTGTTTTCCACAATTGTTTCAAAATCTATCCATAATTCTGTAAGCTATCACCATTCTTTGACCCTTTGACTGATTTGCACATAATCCAACAGGTAATATTGTAATTGTGTAAAGTAGTATTATAAGAGAAATTTTTTTCAAGTTTTAAGAGTGTTACATAGTTTCCATCAGCAGGAAATATAAGTAAACATGTTACATTTTTAAAGTAATTTTTAACATCAATATTGATTGGAGTGTAAAATTGGTGTTTCAATATAAAGCATCAGGCACTGAGTTGAGATCTGAGGTTCTGGCTTATCTGACATGTTAGTTATCCCTATAATCTTTTGTAAGTCACTTATTTAGTTTCCAACATTCAGCATAGAACATTTAATAAATATTATTAATTAAAACCTCCCCCCCAACTGTCACACACACAGGAAGCTGTACCTCTCCTGATTCAGTTACATTCTCCATAACAGTAATGATTGTGTTTAATGTATAAAACGAGAAAGACCAATTTCAAGAATAAAACGCATAATTGAACAACTAGCAGAATGGCCAAACTTGGGTTCTAACTGCAACTACTTCAATTTAACAACTATTTATTGAGTGTCCCTGTGCCTATGTGAGTGGGAGCACATCGCAGGCAAAGGAAGGGCATAAGGAGGTTGGGGAATTAGGAAAGTTTGCATATGCCAACCACAGAAAATATCAGCATAGCTACATTCATTGTGTGGAGAGGCAGCAGGGGACAGTGGCAGTGGCTTGTGGCGAGATATGCCAGAGGTAATTAGTATCAACATTATACAGGCTTTGTAGGCCATATCAGTAAATTTAGACCTCTTCCCAAAACCAAAGAGGAATCATTAAAGGGTTTCAGCAATGGTGTGGTGGTATAATTTAATCTCTAATTTTGAAAACTCATTCAGGCTACAGAGCACAGAATAGACCGCAAGAGCCAAGACTGGAGACAGGGAAACCAGTTAAGAGGTGGCTTTGAAATGATAAAGGCGTGAGTTAGAAGGCAGTACAACAGTAATTAATAGTAAGACTTCTGAAGTCATTTACCTGCATTCAAAACCCAGATTTTCTACTTACCAACTTGCTTATTCCCTCTACACCTCAGTTTTCTTTTCTATAATCCAGAGATAAAAGTCTTCACAGGATTGTTGCCAAAGAACAAATAAAATAATACACATAAACAGCATGTTGCTTGGCACAGAGTAAGAATGCAAATGTTTATTATTAATTGTTAATGGGACAGAAATGAGAATAACTGGAAGATGTTTAGGAAACAGAAATTGAGTTAAGATACAGGACAAAAGGGAAAGGAAATAGGCAGACTCTGGTTTCGGTTTCAATAGTGGCTCTATTGATGAGATGAAAAACACAGGTGGTTTGAAAGTTTTGAAGGTTTGAAGAAGATAGTGTTCATTTTTTAATATATTGCCTATTAGAGACATTCCAGCAGGCAGGTGAATACAGTGCTGAAGTGAAGGAAACAGATCAAGGCTGGAGGTGTGAGAATCGAGAGTGACAGGTGGTAATTAAATCCATGGAGGTTGATGAGAGCCTCGGAAGGGTATGTAGAATGAAGAAATACTGACACTACGTAGAAGCTATGCAACAGCAACATTTAAAGGATGGGCAGGGGAAGAAAAGCCTGCAAAAGACAGAGAAAAGGGGGAAGCTGAGACAAAAGAATAATGTGGGAACTCAAATCCAAAAGAAAAAGTGTTTGAAACAGAAGGGAGTGCTCAGCAATGTCAATACTTTAGAGCAGTGAGGTAAGGATTGAGAGCTTTCACTGATCTAGCAACAAATTATTAATTCACAGAATAAATGTGTCAAGCACTGTGCTAGGCCATGGAGATGCAGTAATAAGTAAGAAAAATAAGAGCCTTGCACACACCGACTTTATGTTGTGAAGATAGACTGTAAACTATTTAACAAAATACTTTATTTGGAATGGTAGAGATAAAGTGACATAATAGACAGTAAAAAGCTCTTTAGACAGTCCACTTTAGATAGAGAATTTAGGAGGGCATCTGTGTGAGGAGGGAAGGTTTAAACTGAGACCTGAAACAGGAAAGGGCTTAGCATGGTCAGAAAATTGAAAGAAGTCGTTGAGACTATAGCATATTGGTGGAGGAGGGATGGAGAGACAGAAACCAGATCATATTTTGTAATTATGCTGACAGCACAGTGAGAAAAGTTTAGATGATGACCTGTTAAGCATGTAAATAAGGAAGTTACGGTCACTCTCGCTAACAGAGCTTAGTTGTTTGCTTTCCCTCATTTGTACTAGCCTTAATAATCAGAAATAAAACATTTCACCACTCTTTCAACTATTAACTGTTTATTACAACAACATCAGAATAAACTTTTCTACTTTAAAGGGTACTATATGATTATGGCATGCTACTTGTTACATTCATTTTACTAATCCCCTTTTAGCCTTCTATATTTCTTTCAAAGATAATTCTCATAATATTTGCTTGATTATATCACTAAGTTATATTTCTCTGCGGTATTTTCAAGCAATGTGCACCAGAATTTGAGTGTTTTATAACAAGAAGAATGAGCAAGGTGTTACTAAAATCTGATGAAATTCATAAAAAAAAGATGCTATTCCATAGAGCTTATATTCCATAGTCTTAGGTTCGTATTTCCTTAATCTGTATAAGCTATACACATGTGTGTGATAGAAGTTGATGCAGAACACAATGGCTTGATTCTGAGCAGCTGAATTAAATGCTCATATTATTTTTTCATTTACTTATCTCCAAGAGGAAGAATTTACAGCTCTTTCATATTTCACAAGGTTATCAATAATATAAAATACTACAATTTACTTAATATCTATTATCAGGCAGTGAAGTAGGCACATTACATACATTATTTTTAATCATCCTCATATCCCCAAAATAGGAAGAATAGGTATTCTTCTTCCTATTTTACAAAAAAACAAAAAAACAAACAAACAAAAAAAACAGTCTTAAGAGAGATCACGTGACTTGCCCAAGACTTCAGAGCTGGAATTTAAGCCCAGTTCTGTAATCTCAAAAACTCTGGTCACTATACCATGATGCTTCAGACTATTAACAGATACATGAATTTTAAATAACAAATGTAACTTTATTAAATTTTTAATAAACTGTACAACTTAGAAATATTGGCTATATACACCATTCCTATATATCCCTGCTTTTGTCATAATAATTTGATTTCAATTTTTTTAATAATGGAGATGAGAGATAAAAGAAAGAAAACATAACCATACTGTATTTAAGGTCCAAGAATTACCATTATGGGTCAAATTTTTTTCCCAGTAAATCTTTAATACACATTAAATCCAATGAACTACCAGTAACTAACTGCCTATTCTCACAAAACTTATATATCTCTCAAAATTAAAAATTACAAATGGCGTATGATTTTCTGAATCAGAAAACCAAATCTCTGATTAGAATCTCTAAATGTCACTACTCGGAATTCAAAAGGTAACAAGTCTCCATAAAAGCATCATAATTTGCCCTCAGCAGTTATCGACAGATTTACCGTATTGTGAGCTTTTCCTAAGATTTTTCAGGTAGCTGTCATTCACCAAGATTCTGTCTGAAGAAGTCTAGATATTTAACAAAAAGAAATTACTGCCAGATCATCTTTATTTCCTTAACAAAATACACACATGAGCACAAAATTCACTTATAATATCACCATTATTTTACAAATATAAATAATGCTCAGAATTCAAGTACAGTCAAGGGCAGAAATATTTCCTATATGTTATTATGTAAACATAAGCTAATTATATACATTATGTGCCTTTGGCCCAGCTGCAAAATAAGAGACATCAAAAAGAAACACTGCACTTGACTCTTCAACTGCATTCTTACCCAAAATTTGTACCAATACCTAGTTACAGTTAAAACTTTCATACTGCTTAATGTAAATGCCTAAATAGACATTTTTCCCCCGGCAAATATCTTGAGAGTAAAAATTCTATCCATTTTTAATGATGAAGTATTAAAAATCTTAATTGAGTTTCATTCCTTAAAACAAACACTATTAGAACTTATTCCTAACCAAAGTTCTTCCTATGTCAAAATGGATATTATTTACAGGTCACACATATAGAAAACAAAAATGCTATCAGGTTTGTTTAATTTTAGAATGGAAAAATTTTCTAAAAGCTGTCTAAACAGTGTGGGTCTTTGTACATTCAAAAGGATCTTACTTTACTGATATCACTTGCTTTTAGTTTTAATACCTAGTAGATATAACCCTGACATATTGAAAGTTAGGCAATCTGAATTCAAATGATATCAAGCATATCCTTAGAGAAAAAAAAAAAAAGCACCACCTAAAAAGCAGTAACTGACATCAACAAAACTACAAATATCCAGTTGAAGGCACATGGAAGAATTTACTACATTGTCATCAAAGATTCTCCACTTAGTTCAGGATCAGGAATAGAATCAGCCCCGGGAACTGTTGGTTTGGCTTCATTCATTGAAGTTTCCTCATTCTCGGTCTCTTCTTCCTTCTCCTCTCGTTCCTCTGTGCCAGATGCTTCTTCAGTCACTCCGCTTGTCTGTTCTGTATCTGTTACTTTGTCCTCTGTCTGCTCTGTAGTACTATCAAAAACATCTTGTTCTTCTACAGATTCTAAAAGGACAAAGAGTCAAGACTTCAAAAAATACCCAAATGTTAAAACTGCTAAATAAGATAAGCAAAAGATAAGCACACACATACATGGACTAAGAAACAGTAGAATGATCTAAATTTTTTTAATTCTTTTTTAAAAAATCACTTATAATATATATATTTAACTTCCATTGGCATATTATATATGAATTGATATGAATGAAGGAAAAAAACAATTTGAGAGAAACGAACCCATAATATACTTTTATCTAAAGCCCCCTATTTTCATAAAATTTAGGAATTTTCCTAAAGATGCTTTTCAAAGCTGAATGTCAAATCAAAGTCCCAATAGAATCATGTGCTATGAGACAACAGCCTGACAAACAAAGCAAATGTATGAACTCTCAGATTATGTTTCCTGAAGGAACTGTCTCCCTTGTGCCCAGGCAAGCCTGCAGGCAATGTGTAAACGCATACCTTTGCCTGTTTGTAGGCAGTGCTATTTCCCACGCTGATTTACATCTCTATTACCCAAGGACTTAGAAGTCAGTCAGGATCCACCTTTTCCAAAGGCCTGACAAGCCTCCCCTCATCCCCACTGTGCAAGACAAATCCTCAGCATTTAAACCTCTGGGTCAGAATATGCTTCATATCTACAATGCTAGGGAGAGAAAGAGAAGGGTCTTTTGTCCCTGTCTCTATAATGGAAACTAATTAAAAAGTCTTGGTCCCTATCCTAAAATTTGTTCCCTTTAAACTTTTGAGTTTAATTAAATTCAAATCCCTTAATAATAACTTAATAATAACAACAATTTTATTAAAGTCCCTATAATTCTTTAACGTTGGGAGAATGGGATGGAGGAGGGAATGACAGGAGCAGCTTTGTTTTTATAATAAGTAGCAATTAATATTCTTGCTAGCAAAAATATGATTAAACCACATCAGCTAAGCAAATAAGCAGATTTACCCTCATAGATCTCTTATAAGATACAAGTGTTACTGATTCAAAATTTCTGGAGGAAAGACCAAGCTACATTAATAAAAAGCTCTAGTTTAGTTACTTGGATAGTACAATGTGCGTGTATGCATGCATGTTTTGATAAATAAATATAATTAACAGGTTTACAAAGAAATCATGTGCTATGTATACACACATGATAATGTACAAGTTTTATAAATTCACGGTTTTACCCTATCAGTTTTAATAAATACAAATCATATCTCACACACTGTGCCAAAACAATTTTAAAAGAATTATTTCTATAAACAGATATTTTAGAGTCTAGTTTACATAATTAATTGCAACTTTTTTCCAATTTTTATATATAGGATGAAGGGCCAAAATTATAGTTAAGAACATCCAACTTAATGAGGTTTTACTATATGAAAATGTCACATAATCACAAAAAGTAGTAAGGAAGAGTTCTCAAATTGTATTGTCCCAAATGTCACAAAAATGCTATTTTTACCTTAAAAGGAACTTAAAATGGCATTGCTGTAACACTTCAGATCTCACAAAAGTCCAAGGTAAAAAGCAAAAAATCATTTGAGTTTGTTATTTGAATGTCCCAGCGCACAAAGGAAAAGCAGTAACTGCAAATGAAATCCTGTTGTAGATCATTTCTGTTACGTGGGCAAGGTCTTTAGTAGAAAACTTCAGGAGTCACCAACCATTTGTAATTCTACCCTCAAGGAATTTATCCAGGATAGAATTTTAAGTCCAGAACAGAATTTTAAGTCATGGTTTTCCACAACTCTGGCCATAGAAAAATACTTACTTGCCAAAAACCTTACAATTTGTTATAATTTAGGAACCCTTCTGAAACAAACCAATAAAGCCACACAAAATGAAAAAAATAAAAAGCTCAGAATACACAACTCAACTTACCAATAAACGTGTTTAAGTGAACACAGATAGGCCCACATTGTTATATTCTGCCTGACAGACTTTCTCAGTACCTAAACAGGAGCAGTTTCAAAGCTCATGGTTTATCATATTAAACTTCTGTCATGTAACTATTTTCAGAAATAACATTGCTCCTCGAATTCATTTGATTGTAAAATTCTTGGATTTTAAAAATGCAGTTAATACAAAGGGCAGAATTACCATACTTAAATTTTTAAATGTCTATAAAGGTGAATAGTAAGAAATACCATTTGCTGTCATAATTATAAAATGATTTTATATACAAAGTTTGACCATCAATACTGTTATATTTCAGAGACCATATAGAAGACTGAAAATTGGGGAAATGATAGGTAGGGCTTAAACATAATCAAAAAGCCTGTTAATGACTACTTCTCTTTTCCCAGGTTACTTTGCAGAAAAGTAATTTTGATAGCAGCAACACTACAAAAAACTGGTTTGTGCCATCATGCCTATAATGCAGATATCGGCCAGTCTAAATGACATAACTATTCACTGTTCGAATGTCAGTGCTATTTTGTGAGTCATCCAAACAAGATTTAAGTGAACCAGGTGTACAAGAACAAAGAAATACTTACCAGTTTAATAACTAAACCACAGAGCTTTATAATATCATTAAGTGTATTCTAAAGAGACTTTATTTCTATGGGAAAGTATCATTTGCGTGTTCTAGTAAAAACAATTTTTTTTCCTGTGAAGTTGTAATTTAAAATAACTTGGTTGTATATTTTAAATACATTACAGAAGATGTCAACATTTGGGCATAAAATACTAAAAGAGAAACCAGCCTTTGGAGTCACACCAGTTTAAGACTAAAATTAAAACAAAATTAAAACAAAGTTATCTCAATGATCTAATTCCATCTGTAAGAAAATTCTGAAAATCAACTTTGGCATCTCTAATACCAAGAAAACAATACACTGCAACGTGATAAAACAAAAACAGCTCATGAAATTTCTTCCTGTCCCTACTCCTACCCCCTGCCCCACTCCCTCCCACTGCCCCACTCCCATCCCAGTAGCCTTAAGAAACTTTCCTACCAAACTGGCCTCCAGTTGTTTGGGAAAAGCCTCTACTCAGTGAGACAACTCAAAATCATAATACTGAGTATAATTGTAAAACTAATACCACTGCCTCACCTAAAGCCATACACATGCAAAACCATGTAAGGACATTAACTTACCTTTAGGATTTTAGTCTAGCTCTTAAGAGAATAATTTTCTCAGAAAATTAAATAATAGTCTGACAAAACAATTTCATGCATTTCTAATGGAAATATATAATTTTCACAGAAAAATATATGATTCTACTTAGATTATGCCTTTGAAAACTCCTCATATTTTGGTGAAATTCACTTACTTTATATTTTATTCCTTTATACAATAACCAAAAAGAATCTGCCTAGCTGATATATCAGTATTTACTATAGAGTATAAAACTTGCTCAAAGGAAACTGGTTACATTAAAATAGAAAAATTGTCTTTGAACTTACAAAAGTTATTACAAGATTTTTCTGTCTTAAGGAAAATGGCCAACTTATTTTAAGGAACAAGACATGGATTTCATCTCAAACTCAACCCAGTGGATCAATGAATAAACTTCAATTAAATAAGAATCATCTATAAGAAAATAGCTCATACTCAATGCAGAGAATACTATCTATCTATTTACCATTGGTGAACAAATCTATTACATGAGTAAGAATGTCATTATTATGCAATGATATAAAACTATTCAGTGAAGGTGGTTTAGAAAAGTGAATCCAAGGGCCAAAAATTCTCTATGTCTAAAGCATGCAAAAACTTACTACAGTTGTTTGTATCTTGAGTAAACTGTACATAATTAAATATAAAGATATAATCTTTTTAGATCTGGTAAATATACAGAACGCAACAAAATTTACATTATCAAATAGTTCAATCTCCAAGAGCATTGTAACAAACAATACTACAAATAGAACTTTCCCTAGTTCAACATAATCTAACAGTAACAGTATATTACTTAAAAGAAAGGAAGAGCAGAAATCAGACCTTATATAAATTGTACTTGTTATTTTTGAGAGCATTGGTTAGATACCATGAAGTTTATTATTAGCAAGTTATTTCCAGTTAAATAAAAGCTACTTTCTTTTTTATTTAATCCTTATAATATTTTTTCCATTACCATTTAGTCCCCTTATACCTCCTCCCCTAAAAGCTACTTTCTCCTAAAATAATTATATAAAACCTAGACAAATACAACTGAGGGATGAAAATAATACTGTTTTTCAAGCATGCTAGCCTAAAATCACTACACTAGTATACTAACAATGTAGAAACCTCATACTCTTTTACCATATTTACAGAAAAAAAATTGCTATATAGCAGGTATTTTGGAATGCATTAAAAAAAAAAAAAAGGCAAGACTGATAAACCACTTTAATGTGGCTTAACAGAGATTCAGGTATCACTGCACTATTCATTTAACCATAAAAGAGAGGAACCAAAAAGCAGTTCATCGCTTTGGCATACCATATCTAGTATACTCTTAGATAAAAAGAGAATCCATAGTCCTAATTTCTTGTGTTTCTCTAATACTCCATTACCAAAGCATTTTCTATACACAATTCTATAAAAAAATTCTAGAAATTCAAATAAGCAATTAATTGGGGAAGTTTCTTCTAGGTCTCCTTCTTTGATGAAAACTTTCCAAGATTTTATATGTTGTTCCAAAGGGTGATCCAAAAATTTCAAAAGCCTTTTGCCTCATCCTAACTGCAAAATCTTCCAGTAGCAGAATCAAGACAAAACAATTTCTTAGTCTCACATCATCTATTTTTTTAAAAGATATCTTCCATTAATTCTAGATTATTCATATAAATGGTTTTAGAATATCTGTTAAAAGGAAAATTCAGATGGAAGAAAGTTACCTTTTCTCTTCATCTGTAAAGTCAATAACCTAATCTATACAGCTTTTGCTGCTCTCAAGAAGCTATTTCAATACTTAAAAAATACAAAAATTATAGCAGGAAAGTTTTTTTTCAAACCTTAAGTTTCTTACATCAAGAATGTAGAAATCAGAAATCTAAGCCCTCAATTACATTGCCTGTCAGCATGGAGAGCAGATGATTGAGATGATATGATCTTACTTAACAGTTCAATCTAATCATAAAGATATGTCTCCACTCTTCAAAACAAATACAGCCTCTCTGTTGATCAGAAATCCTTCCAGTCATTTACTAAAGGAATCCAGGGTGGAGTTGGTAACTGTATATCATACTGTTGAGATAGGAGTCTTGGAAAAAAGTTCATTCAGTCTTCTGGAAAGCCAAAGAGAAGTAAAAGGTGCTCATAGCTATTTTAATGAATCCAAAGAGAAGTATGAAAAAGTTACTACTCTAAAGACTACCTTAACCAAATGGAACTGTTGCTTCAGATTCTAGCACTATGTGACGTTATCAGACCCTGCCTCAAATTTTGTCTTCACCTATTAATATTACCTTATTAGGGTTGAATATGAGCCAGTTAGACTTCATTCTGGAGATTTCAGACAGAAAATGAGGCCTCTGAGGTATTGCTCCTCCTAGATTAGATGAGAAGGAAAGATATAGCTGGGCGTTGTTTGCTAACTATCCGTCTTGGCCTTAGCAGAAGATACAAAGCATTGGACTCATTAGCAAGATTTTTATTTTGTTGGCTGATTTTTCTTTTTCTTTTTTCCCCAACTATTGGCTTTTAAATATTCATTTTAGCTTTCATAAGCAAGGTTACTAATGGAAAGAACTTCAATTTTTCCTCTAGGCATCTTCAGTATGAAACGCTTTCATTTTTCAGTTCCAAGAGGCTGCAATGGCCAGGCAGATGATTTGCATGTGACAGCATGCAGCTCAGAGCATGACTTAAGCAAAAGAAAAAATCTGGTAGTGTGTTTGGAGTTGACAGTTGATGCTGCAGACTTGGAGGAGATGAATGCATTGATTCACTTTTTGAATGTACAGGCCTCTTGTCATGGCTACCTGTATTTAAATTCATTCTGGTATTTGTTAGTAGGCCAATGGCCAAGCCCATCAACATAGGTACTATAGGTTCATTCTTTAAAGTTAAAAAAAATACACAAATTTTCATAATAAATGTGATATATGACAGTCACTATCTCATATTATTCTCAGTTAAAGCAATTTTGCCCAAGCAATTTTGCCCCACCCAATGCTTTTATAAAGAAATCAAATAGACAAAAGATAATCCCTAGAAATGAAAAGGATGAATATTAATTGCTTAATAAACTATGTGAACTAAACTTCCAATATAAATTTTTTCCTATACCTGGTATAGCACCAAAATATCATGACCTGTGTCATAATTTTAGCAATCTTCGTAATTCAGAGCTGCTTAACAGTTACTCATATTAACAGCAAGAAATAGTTGGCAATTAAAAGTCAAATCTTCCAACTCATCTTTTCCATTTTTTAGTGAAACTTCCTCAAGAATTCCTAAAGTAGAATTACTAAATGAGATCTAAAACCCCAACAAATTCTGATGAATTCTTTTTCTCCAAAATAAGGTTGTTTACATCAAGGCATGTGCAAGCAATGTTAGTCTCATGAACCAAGATAAATTATTTGTTTCAAAGGAACAGCAGTCTGATCAACAAACTCATCTAAAGGATGCAAGGATGACTTTTCAAATCCAAAGTTTCCTGCTTTCTGGTAACTTCTACCACTGCAAATTTTGTAAGGATTTTACCCTTAGAGTTGTTTCATAATTCTCATAACCTGTTTTATTTAAGTCAATTGAAAAAATGGTTCCATAAAAACATTACTAGTCAAATCTCCCAACAGTTACTAGAAGAGGTAACTCCATAAACAATGTTTACCTAGCTATTGCTGATTATTGCCTAACAAAGTATAACCTGTATTTTAAAACTAAAACACATTATACCAACCACATAGGAAACAACAGTATCAGAACAACAGCTGATATTTGCATGCTGCAAAACCTGATAAGTCCATTCTTATTTAAAAGCATTATGCTGTTATTGTTAAATAGCAAACATCATTAAGACACAGAACTTTTTAATTAACATACTCATACCTTCACTGATCTGATTCTCTGATGAAATCACACTTCCTGAGAGCAAGGGACCAACTGAACTTGGGCCGTCCACCACCTGCCTCTTCTCAAAGCTAAACTCTGGAAGTCTTGGGGCCTGGGGTCTGGTTTTTCTTGCAGGATTCAAGAAAAAACAGTAGGCACATCGGAAAGCTGCAGAGAATTTTTAAAAATAAACAAAACCACAAACTGAAGAAAACTCAAGGACTAATCTGATAACTCTCAAAATTACTTTTGCATTTAGTCAAAGAACCTTTCAAAAGTTATTTATCCCTTAGGAAATTACATATGGCTTTAGTAATACTATTGTAGGTATTCTAACCAAAGCTAATTTTAAAGCATACTTTCTTTTTCTTTTTTTTAAAGCATACTTTCTAAGTATTATTAGAATATTAACTTTAAATCAGAAAAGTTATGTAGTAGGTTAACTAATAACAGCAAAACAATATTAATAATGACCTATATGTATTATAGAAATTACATTTCTGGTCACCAGAATCATTAGGTATTTTTAAACCGAGAACCTAACTCATTTGCTCAAGAAAACGTAATGCATCATATTTGAGAGGTATAATAAATTTAGCACAATATCTTTTAATAGTGGCTACACATGAGAATCATCTAAAGAGCTTTAAAACCATGCTGATGCCTAGAACCCCACCCCAGATGATTTAAAGCAGACTTTTCATAGGTGGGCCGGGACATAATTTTTAAAAGCTATTCAGGTGATTCTGATGCACAGTGAAGTTTGAGAACAGCTAGCCTAGAGGTTATACATCATTATGAGAAAAACATGAGTTGTCTTTTCTGCTTCATTCTATGTTCTAAAATAAGGGCAATATGTCTGAACAATATATACAGAGACAGTACCAAAAGTAAAATGACATTACATGGGAACTGGCATAGAATGAAATATTTGAAAATAAAATGTTTAAATCTAAATGCCCAATAATTCTTACCAATGTATTCAAATTCTTCTTTCAAAGCCATGCCATTATGAGAAAAGCACTGCTGACATATAAGGGCATACCTATACCAAAAGGAAAAATAAACAAACAAGTTACAAATGCAAACAAAGCCCATGGGAGAGGCCACTTTAGCCATCACAGCTAATTTATATTTTAACATAGCTAAATATGTCATAACAGATTAGATGTTCTTAGTAAAAAATAAATAATACTCTCTAAACAAAGCAATAGCCAAAATTTCAACCGTTTTAAAATATAATTTATACATCAAATTAAAAACAAACTAAGCAACAGTCAAATGACTATATCCTTATTAAGTTTTAGCAGAAATATTTGGTAATAGAACACTTAAATTTCAGTGTTCCCTAAAGTATATTCCTGGGGATGATAGACCCCAAGTGTGTGGTCAGATAAGACTGAACCTCTTAGAGATTCATAGTGAGTATTCTTGTAGTAAAGAAATTAATTTTGTTTAATTTAGTCCAAAGATTAATTTCTGTACATCATAATTCCTGTACCTATCCCAGTTATGCTTAAACACCTTCCTCATTTTCTATTGACTCATTCTATTCTCTGTGTATGTACTTAAAAAAAATTTGTTCCTTTTAAAAGACATTCTGTTTTGAATAAAATACAATTCATTATATTAACTTTAAATTCTATTCCTTCATTAAATTGATAATATTAACCAATAATCTTGTCAAATATCTACTATTCTAAAAATTTTTTTACTACGATAATTGCTTCACTCACATCACACCTATCTTCCTACAATTACCGTAAGGGTAAAATAAGATAATAATTGGAAGAGTATTTAGAGACCTATAAGTGCCACATACATGTAAATTATCCTTGTGTTATTATCACCATCACCAAGTCCAGTACTGACATCTATAAAATGCCATTTCTTACAACCTATTAAGTTTTCACTATCAGTGTACTCTTCAAATATAGAAGTTTTAGTGAAATGAATCAATTTCTCTAAAAATAACCTTAGGGTAAGATTATAATATAGTAGGGTTACAATATTTTCTCTATTTTATATATATTTTTTCTACATTTTATCTAAACTGCTACTTTAAAAAACAATTGAATCTGTACTCTTTTGTAAGGCTATAATTACAATACTACTACATTCTGTTTTAAAGGAAGGAAACAGGAGCCACAAAACTACAGAAATCTAGTATGTACACACCCAACATATAAGCCATGGCCAATAAACTTTTTCTTGATTTTCATGTATTTACCACCCTGGTAAACATTACCTGTTTTGTGGACCATCACCAACTAAATATTCAACAATTCTATCCAAAGCACCTCGCTCTCGGGGGAGAATGGGTCTTGCTAAAGGTGGGCCCGGAGGATGAAGACCTAGTAAATAAATAAATACACAAGAATTTATCTATACAATTCAGTTACCAAGAAATGCCTATGCTTGTCAGAACTTAAATGATTTTAACAAAACAAAAATAATACCGATTCTTATAAATCTCTATAGAGGATTCAAATTTTCATTAGAAAGGCTGTACTACAAAATTGTGTAATGTGCACTTTTTGCCCAAATTTTTGAGGGAAAAATAAGGATGTGCATTATACATGGGTAGTACCTGAAATGCCTTGTATCTTTTCTTATGTTTTGTAATTATTTGTTACATAAAATTTCTTGTACCATAGTATGTTCCAAAAATGCTAAAATTCCTTTATAATACAAAAACAAGTACCTAAATATAAATAAATAAATAATTGAATTTTAAAATTAAAACAAAAGAATTTTTTCCTCAAAATTTGGTCCAAAACATAGGTATGCATTATACATGGGAGCACATTATATATGGCAAAATATGGTAATAAACATCTAAATAATCCAGGGTTCAAAGAGAAATTATAAAGTATTTTTAAATAAAAAAATTTTAACATATCAAATTATGATATGCAGCTGAAATAGTAATTAAAGGAAATTTTATAACACTAAATACCTATAACACTAAACACCTACCACAAAAGAAGATAGGTCTAAAAACCGTAATTTCCGTTTCCACCTTAAGAAACTAAAAGCAGCCCTGGCTGGCCTGGCTCAGAGGATTTAGTGCTGGCCCCGCAAATCAGAGGGTCACCAGTTCATTTCCCAGCCAGGGCACATGCCTGGGTTTCAGGCCAGGTCCCCAGCAGGGGGCATGTGAGAGGCAATCACACATTGATGTTTCTCCTTTCTCCCTCCCTTCCCCCTCTCTAAAAATAAATTTTAAAAAAAAACCTAAAAGCAAAGAGCAAATAACCAATGTAAACAGAACAAAAGAGATAATAAAGATAGAGAAAACAAATAAAACATACAAAAATAATAGAGAAAAACTGGTTCTTTGAGAAGATCATAAAATCAGTAAACCCCTAGCAGACTTATCAGAAAAAGAGAGAAAACACAAAATACTAATATCAGGAATGAGAGAAATGGCATAAATCCAAATTGTAAAGATATTAAAAGTATAAGGGTATATTATGAATAAATTTAAGCAAGGTAATTTTATGTAAATAATCACAAACCTAAAGGCTGCTACCAAGTAAAAAAGGGCAAATGATATTAAAATTATAGTTATTAGTAAAAAAAATTTAGGTTCTAGAAAAAGTTCTTACTATTACAAATCAAGTACATTTTTTCCGATTTTATTAGAGAGTTGTTTGTAATAACATTCCATCATTATCATAAAAAAGTAAACTTTAATGTAGACATTAAGTGTCATCTCTTATCATAAAATTTTCAAGTTAAATAAGCATGCCAAATTAGATTTTGAAAGCATTTAAGCTAACTTAACTTTTGGTGGAATATTTTACTTCCACATGTTTAAAATGATAATGTCCATTAATATATATAATGGACTCTGAATATATAAAATAACAATTTCAAATATCTTAAACCCTTTGCATCCTTAGTAAATTTTAAAATAACAGATCTTCGTACTCATGCTGTTAAGGATAACAGTAATTAATACAAACATCAAGAGCAATCATTGTAGGAATACTGGTCATTTTTACACAGCTTGGCAAATTATCAAGTACCTGCTGGTTATTAATTTTCAAACATATGGGAGCCCTGTGGTAATACACATTAAATTGATTGTCTTCTACAAATATGGCATAATGAAAAAAGTGAATTATTAATCTTCTCTACAAGAAATCACTTAACTCATTCATATTTTTGGCAATACATAACTTAAATACAAAGCCTTTTATATAGAAACTAATTAAAAACTTTAGTAAAACATGTTATATTGAAATGATCACGAAATTTAGGCCATTATTCCTTCTAACCCTAGTCTTATATGTGCAATACACTTATTACTGTATGTAAGTTGCTAAACTTTTATTTCTTTAAAACTAGTTAGATTCACAAATGTATACAATACATGCATTCTCACACAAAAAAATGTAATTTCATTAAACAACTAATAACTTTACAAACCATGGGTATCTCAAATCAGATAACAAGTAAAAGATGAATAATTTTTAATTTATTTTTTCTCAATTTCACAAAATATATGGCTACCTTAAGGGACATAATCATATGTCAAGTTTAAAAGTGCTTTTTCAATAATTGTTTTAAAAATTATGATTTGTATGTATTTCATTTGCAGCCAGGTTTCTTAATGTTTATAAATTAATAGTTTTCTAAAACCTAATGCTGCTTTTTTTGAAGGAAGAGCAGGAAAAAAAATCTACTGTAATATTAACATTTAGATTGTTTATTGATTTTATTACATAAATGCTCTGAATACCTGAACCAACTACTGACGTGCCTCAAAATCATTACAAATTATGTTAGTAATTAGTCATAAAAGTACCAAAATAATCTAAATTAGAATTAAATATCCTAAAGTAAGATAATTTACAATCATATTCAAGAACCCAGCATGAAAATCTACATAAAATAATGTGATCTGCTAAAGCAGTGAACTTCCAAGCCCCAATGACATCCCAAAAGAGAACTGCAAGGTAATAAAATCTATTACACTCCAAAAATGGGACCTTCCCCTAGTGATCTGTCACTCTAAAAAAGGAGAGTTCAAAGGAATGAAATAGTAGTAAATGAATATATTAATACGACTTTATGCTAAATTATCTGTCAGAAAATACTTAGGTCCTTTGACTTAAAAAAAGAGATAACATAATAAAATATAATTAAAATTTTAAAAAGATGACTTTCTTCAAAGACAATATATAGAGGGCCAACAGACATGAAAAGATGCTCAACAACACGAATCATCGGAGAAATGCAAAGTAAAACCACAATGAGATATCACCTCACACCTGTCAGAATGGCCATCATCAATAAATCAACAAGTGCTGGCAAGGCTGTGGAGAAAGCAGAACCCTTTTGCACTGCTGGGAGTGCAGATTAGTACAACCACTGTGGAAAGCAGTATGGAGATACATCAAAAAATTAAAAATGGATCTCCCTTTTGACCCAGCAATACCACTTCTGGGAATATATTCGAAGAAATCCAAAATACTAATTTGACAGGACATAAGCATCCCTATGTTCATTGCAGCATTATTAACAATCTCCAAGATATGCAAACAGCCCAAGTGCCATCAGTAGATGAGTGGCTAAAACAACTATGGAAATTTACACAATGGAATACTACTCAGCCATAAAAAAAGAAAATGATTTTAAAACTTTACAACAGGAAGGACAGACCTGGAAAACATTATGCTAAGTGAAATAAGCCCGTCAGAGAAAAACAAATACCATGTGATTTCACTTCTATGTGGAATCTAATGGACAAACTGAACTAACAAGGAAAATAGAGACAGACTCATAAACAGAGAGCAGGATGACAACTATTATGGCGGGGAAGGTTAGAGGGTAGAGGAATAGAGCAAAAAGGAAAAAGGTCTCACGGACATGGACAACAATGTGTTGATTTGCAATGGGGGGAGGGATATAAAGGGGTTAAATGGTAATGGAAAAATAAAATAAAATAAGTTTTTAAAAGAAGGCTTTAACACCAGTCTACATTAACAATGAAGGAATATTCTTCCTGAAATATGTTAAGTAATTTTCATGTTTAAAATATGTGAATGGTGTAGCAAAAAGCATACATTTTTAAAAAATCATAAATACATTCCAAAAGTGTTCTCTTTTATCCCCATTTTATAAAATCTGGAGCCATTCTAAAGCTGAATATAAAAAGATATGCTATACTGTTGACTACAGAATACTAAAAAATTTTATTGCCATTTAAACAAAGAAGCCATAACAGTTAAATGAGCTTAAGAAATAGGTTTCAGTATCACAAGGTGCCAGCTGTAAAGAGTTATGGCTAATTGAATATGGAACTCCTGCTTAATCAGATAACTGCTCTGCTATTTCCAAATGAAATGCCATTTCCATACTGTCTGAAAATGGCCCGTTTTATTGGTAACCGGAGAAAACAATATAAACTGTAAATAACATTAAGTGCTCTGTTTACCCATTCCAGGCACTGAAGTAGCAGGGGATCCAAGACGTCTCGGTAACACATTTGACGATAGGGCGGGAGTAACAGTTCTTTCTGGGGGTCCACCAGGGGCTGAAGTGTCCTTTGCTGGTCCAGGAGATCCTGGACCTTGTGGAGGAGGGCCCTGGCTAGAGCTGGCTGGGTTTGGAGAAAGGTTTCTTTGAGCTGCAGTTCGCTGACGAATCTCTGAGAGTAAGAATGAGAAGTATGTATGAGATTTAATATCCAATATACCACATCAGCCAATATCACAAGTATTACTTACATTTAATAAAGTTTTGTGCCACCAAAAGGGATCGGTAGGGCCAACCTGCTTGTAATAAAACAATCTATAAAATGTAACATTAAAAACTGACTATAACAGAGTACCCCATTTCTCACCCTACAAGTCAGCTGCATGTATTTACACAACAAGCTTTAATCTCATTCTTTTACTAATACTTTTTAAACTAAATTCAAATGAACTCATCATCCACTTATGTGTCATGTCCTTTACAGTAATCCTTCCCAATTTATGATAAAGTTTATCAGAACTAATGAAAATTGCAGACTTGTTTCAAGATAAAAATAATAGTAACTCTAAGAAATGAGTGAATAAGTATATTCTGGAATTATCAAATAATTTATGAAATAATCTAAGTAGTCATAGAAATGCTGCAAAAGCATTCTTTTTACTATTACTGCCCATTCGCCATCATACTATTGCTATCTTTTTTAGTAAATTTCTTTTTGCCAATACATTCAAAAAAGGAAAACTTCCACTCAGCATAATGTATCATCATAAGTAAATCTTATATTTAGTTGCAGAAATTACAAGATTTTCTGTAACAGGTTGGCAAATGTGCAACATCCAGGCTGCTGCCTCTTTTTTTTGAATTTTTACTGAAACACAATGATGCTCTTTTGTTTACATACTGTCTACGGCTGATTTAAAAAAGAGTTGAGTAGTTACAACAGAGACCATATGGCTCTCAAAGCCGTTTACTATATTTACTATCTGGCTCTTTACAGAAAGTTTTACGATCCCCTAACTCAATAACATAAAATTCAATTCTATCATTCCCCATTCCCACCAATACCTTACTTGAATGTTGATGGTAACATCTCAAGTAAAGAAGCACTTACAGCTTTTTGAATTCTACATATCACAATGAATTATTACAAATCTTGAAATAGTAAGCTGAAACTAAAGAAGTTAAATTTTAATTGGCGTGAGTGGTAAAAATGCACATTTTCACAAGCAAAATACTTTAGATTTGGACTTTATTTGACAGTTAAAGATTTTTATGAAAAGTTCATTGCAATCAAAAGTACAGCTCTAGCATCAGATTTCAATTTGCTACAATCTAATCTACTAGTTAAGAACCTGGGCCCTGTGGTCAGAAAGGTTTGGTTAGAATCCTGGCTGTTGCTACATTACCTCATATGAGTTAAAGTCATTAAGTCTATTCTTAATCATAGGATTGTTATGAAGATTAAATAAGATAATGCCTGTAAATTGAAAGCTCACATTTATTGAATACATATTATTTCATGTGATCGTGTTTTCACACAATTAAATATTTTCAAATAACCTGTTAGCTGTAATTACTGGAATCAACTAATTTTCCATTGATTCTTTTTTTTTTTCGAATGTGATGGGTTTATTTTAATTTGCTCTGATGCAAAACCAAAGACTCCACTACAGCAAAGAGATCAATGTATTAAAAGGTCATGAAAAAGTAGTGTGGGACACGCAGGACATGACGTACAAACTGGAAGAATGGGTTATTTCCTTTATAACAAGACACTACATTGTCACTGAGGAACACATGTAAAATAACACTGTGAGCCCTGGCTGGTGTGGCTCAGTGGATTGAGTGCTGGCCTGCGAACCAAAGGGTAGTTGGTTTGATTCCCAGTCAGGGCACATGCCTGGATTGCAGGCCAGGTCCCCAGTAGGGGGTGCGCGAGAGGCAACCACACATTGATGTTTCTCTTCCTGTCTCCTTCCCTTCCCCTCTAAAAATTAAAATAAAATCTTAAATAATACTGTGGAACTGAACTGAAAGGCAGCACAAATATAACAACTCCAGGCATGTCTTCCAGCACCTCCCTTAGGATGGACTTGCTATCTCTAGATGTCAGTGTGCAGGAGGATTACAATTTCTCAGAAAAATAAAAGGTTCACACTTCTGAAATTTCTGAAGTATTTGAAGGCCAAAACATAGTGGGTCATTTCTCTTCATCTCCAGGGAGAAACCTGATGCTTTATTCAAAACCCCATTAAGCTTCTAGCTCAAATCTCAACCCCAACTTGTGAACTCCTGCACTGAAGTTCTTTCCATTGATTAAAACCGCTAGGATCAGTTTGACTTCTGGTCAAACAGTCTGAGTATAACCCAGTCCAAGAAAGAGAAGTTGCAGAGAGAGAAGTTCTACAATTCAACTTGTATTTAGCAGTGATGCCAAAACGAGTGTTGTTACTGCCAGCAATACAGCCTCTACCCTAGCCACTCCATCAATGAATTGCAAGCATGTCATCATTATATAAATAGAACTGTCTTTATATTTGGTTGTTTTCGTGCATTTTATATAGAAAATTTCAGATTTTACCTGGACTAATTGTATCCTATTATCTCCTGCAAATTAGCTAGTCACTTAATAATCACACGGAATGTGGGAACAAGGAACGCCTTAAAAGGTAGTTACTCATTAGGGAAGGGATTAAATACCACAAAAGGTAGTGAGATCAATAAAATCATATTAAAACATTATCATTTAAATTAATTTTAAAAAACAAAGCATCAAATATTATAAAGCATTTTAGATGATTTTCAGATAAAACATAAAAAATGACATTTTCTTTCAAATAAAGTTTAACATTTATTAGACTATAACAAAAGCAGCTATTATCTTTTCACTTCTTGAACAAAGACTTGAGATTGCTTCCTCTGAATGTGCATTTCCCTGTGAAAATTAACCAAAGCACACTTTTTTCTTTTAATTTTTATTTTTTGTTCAAATACATTTGTCTCCACCTTCCTGCCACCACTTTCCCCTGCTCCCCTCCCCCACCTCCCTCCCTCAATCCTTCCCCACTTTGGCTTTGTCCAGGGGTCCTTTATACATGTTCCTTAACTTGACCCTTCCCTTCTCTTTCCCTGCTTCCCCTCACACTTCTAACAGCACTCATGTGCTACTGAAAGGTGAGATTTCTAACTAACTAGTAAGCAAAGAACATCATGTCTAGCATTCCGTAAGAGATTTGGTGTAATAACTTCTAAATTTTAATTTAGGCAGACAAGGGGTGGGAGGATGATATAGAAAAGGAGAGGAAAAGGGAAAAAACAGCTTCCTCATCTTCAAAGGAAAAGCAGGTAACAAAGACAGTATGATGATTACCAGAGGGAAAGAGGGGTTGGGGGCAGGTAGCAGAGGGTAAAGCAGAGATAAATGGTGAGGGAAGGAGACTTGGCTTTGGGTAGTCAATACACAATATAAAGATGATGTATTATAAAACTGTACACTTAAAACCTATATAATTTTATTAACCAATGTCACTCCAATAAATTCAAATATTAAAAATTACAATATCAATAGTTAAAAATAGCTAGGGTTACAATCTAAGTTTATATCTGGAAAAGTGTTATGAAATATTTTGGTAGTCTTAGTTTAAAATATCTAAGATTTCTCAACTTTTAGTCACTTGCCATTCACAAATGCCTTATAACTACTCTGAAAAGTTTCTAGTACTCACCAAATTAGTCATATTGGTTATAGTCAACATTTCTTGAATTTAAATATAAATATAACAGCATCATCCCCCACCCCACAAAATATTTACCAAGCATTTCACATCAATCTAGTATAGGATCATAAGGAGATTCAATAAAGTCAACTCTTTTTTTAAAGACTTTATTTATTTTTAGAGAGAGGGGAAGAGAAGAAAGAGGAGAGAAACATAACCCGGTTGCCTCTCGCATGTGCTCCCCAACTGCAGGCCTGGCCTGCAACCCATGCATATGTCCTGAGCAGGAATCCAACCGGTGACTTTTTGCTTTGTGGGACAATGTTCAACCAACTGAGCCATGCCAGTCAGGGCCCCATAAGGTCAACTCTTGACAGGAGGATGTTTTACCATCCTTATCAATGGGCCAATCAATAATTTGATAAAAATCACACTCATTAAATATGAGGACATGTCTACATTTTTAATTCAAAATAAAGCAAATAAAATCAAAATATGATTTAAAAACTACTACATTATGATAAACAAAAGGAGGAAAAGTTTAAAATAAAGATAAAACAGGATAGTTGCTGAAGCATAGACTGCAGGATCAAACTGGTTTGATTTAAATTTTAGCTCCACCCCCTTTATTAGATACGCATGCAGATTTTTCCAAGTTGATAACATCTATCAGTTCAGATTCCTCATAATGAGAATATTTACCTCTCATGGTTTTTATAAAGATTAAATGAGGTCATCAATGCAAAGAGCTTAGCCCAGAGCACAGAAAAATTACTTAATAAGCAATAACTAGTAGAAGCAGTACACATCTAAAGGTTCCAGAGATTACAATAAATCAATAGCTAAGCAATCTAGAATTTCTAAGTCAATTATTAAAATACAGACATCAATTTACAAATTAAATGTTTTCCTAAAGTTATCTGTGAACTTAAGTGCTTAAATTCATAATTTATATAAAAACTTAAATCTAGAACCCTAGCTTGTGATATTAAATAATTCTTGAAATAAATGTTCTATAATACAAATAATTGCCTCTTAATTTATCAGATTTTTTTTAAAGATTTTTATTTTTTCATTTTTAGAGAGAGGGGAAGGGAAGGAGAAAGTGAGGGAGACAAACATCAATGTGCAAGAGACACAATGATCGGTTGCGTCCTGCATGCCCCCAACTGGGGACCTGGTTTGCAACCCAGGCATGTGCCCCGACTATTACCAGATTCTTAAATACTGCTTCTTTCCATACTGGTAGAAAGTTTGTGTTTGTTTTGGTATTGAGCTCCCTAGTATGAAGAACACCAGACACTGTTCAGGAGGCATGGATTTTCATCCTAGCTGACAGCACCTGTGAACTAAAAAGTCTTTTGTCCAGTCTGGGTTTCAAATTTCTTTAAAGACGGTTGGCAGAACTACAAATACAGTGGTACCTTGGTACTTATCGTTAAATTGTTCCAGAACT